TGTCGACTTTTGAAGTTGAAACTTTACAGTTTAACAAAGTGTTGACATTTTAGTAGGTTGAAATAATTTAAGGGATAAGAAATAATACATAGAGAAATAAGTCTGTAAAATAGCAGAAAATGTACTGGCAGCTTATTACAAGATGTTTGCAGCGTAATATACAACACCAACACAGACATTTTAAATTTAAAGAAATATCTCTAATTTAACAGCCAGTATTTTATAGTAAATTTTAGAAATTTAACGACCGTTATTTTACTGTAATTTTTTTGTAATTTATCTCTTTATTCTAAATAAATCAAACAAATAATAAGACTAAATTGTAAATGTATGTATTTTTTATTTGCATATTTATTTATTTTTTTTGTGCAGTAATTTGTATTTTTTTATATACATTCATTTATGTATTTGCATATATATTTTAAAATTTTTTATTATTTTATTTACACAGGAATTTGTGAATTTTTATATACGTTTATTCATCTATTTGCATATTTCTTGTTTTATTTACGCAGGAATTTGTGGATTTTTATATACATTTATTTATTTGCATATTTATTTATTTATTTTTTGCGCAGTAATTTGTTAATTTTTACATACATTTATTTATTTGCATATTTATTATTTTTTTATGCAGGAATTTGTGGATTTTTATATTTATTTATTTATTTGCATATTTATTTATTATTTTTTTATGCAGGAATTTGTGGATTTTTATATTTATTTATTTATTTGCATATTTCTTTATTTATTATTTTATTTATGCAGTTATTTGTGGATTTTATCAACATTTGTTTATTTGCATATTTATTTATTCACTGATTATTTTATTTACGCAAGAATTTGTGTAATTTTATATACATTTATTTATTTATTTGCATATTTATTTATTATTTTATTTATGCAGAAATTTGTGAATTTTTATAAACATTTATTTATTTGCTTGTTTCTTATTATATTATTTATGCAGGAATTTGTGGAATTTTATATACATTTATTTATTTATTTGCATATTTATTTATTTATTTTTTGCGCAGTAATTTGTTAATTTTTACATACATTTATTTATTTGCATATTTATTTATTATTTTTTTACGCAGGAATTTGTGGATTTTTATATTTATTTATTTATTTGCATATTTCTTTATTTATTATTTTATTTATGCAGTTATTTGTGGATTTTATAAACATTTATTTATTTGCATATTTATTTATTCACTTATTATTTTATTTACGCAAGAATTTGTGTAATTTTATATACATTTTATTTATTTATTTGCATATTTATTTATTATTTTATTTACGCAGAAATTTGTGAATTTTTATAAACATTTATTTATTTGCTTGTTTCTTATTATATTATTTACGCAGGAATTTGTGAAATTTTACATACATTTATTTATTCGTTTATTTTTTTGCAAATGTATTTATAATTGTATTTATGGTGTGTTTTTGTGGATTTTGATATACATTTATTGATTTATTTGCATATATATTTATCATTTTATTTATGCAGGAATTTCTGGATTTTATATACATCTATTTATCTGTATATTTAATTATTTATTATTTTATTTAGGCAGGAACTTAAAGATTTCCATAGACATTTATTTTTTTCATATTTATTCATTCATTAATAATTTATTTATACAGTAAATTGTGGATTTTCAAAAACATTTGTTTATTTGCATATTTATTTATTATTTTATTTACGCAGGAATTTGTGGATTTGTTTATACATTTATTTATTTGCACATTTGTTTATTTATTATGCAGGAATTAATAGTTTATGTAATCATTTATTCCGTCCTCTATAAAAACTTTATTTAAATTCTCATTTTCTTTCCGTGCATAAATTAATATCTGCATTCATTTTCAGCATAAATGCCTGTTATTGCAATAAAAAACGCAGACTTAAAAAAAAACCTGTGTACACGAGACATCTAGCGGACGAGTCAGGAATAACACGCTGAAATTTCCTTCACAGTAACTGCATGCTCAATCAAAACAAGCGGAAAAGGCGTGTTTAGTAAGAATTACATTTAGAGGATATGAATAGCGCTATAATGAAATAATATCCACAACTTATTGGTCTAAACGAGAGTTTCGCAACACTCCTAAATGACTATTTCACAAACCAGCCGTCGGGTTGGTTTAAACAGAAATACAGGTTTGTAAAGTAGTATATGGTACAGAAAAGTGCTGAGAGGATACTATAGTGCAGCTTTCTCCTTCGGCCAAAGTCTCTTGAATCGCCACGGACTGGTCCATTATTCAGCGCGAGTCTGCAAGCGACACTTCAGTCGCGAGATGTGTCGTAAAAACAGTCATTATTTCTCTGAAAGTGTGCGGTGGTTGCTGAAAGATTGTGGGGTTTTGACAGTCTCCATGTGTCCTCCTTCAGTTTAGATGAAACTTCCCGTCCGAAACCTCCCTCATGCCACGCAGCAGCACGCAAGAGTTCAGCTAACCACCCTAAACTGCAGTCTTACAAGACTTTCTGCTGTCGGTTATTGATCATTTCACCGGACACGCTAGGAATATCACTTATATTTTCTTTTGTCGTCTTCTTTTGTTTCAGATATCCCAATATTCTTCTGGCTTCAGGGATTGCAGTGACACCAAACTTGGTAGGATGGTCTCAGATCCCACCCACTACTTATTTACGGCATATCCACCAGTTGGCGCTATATGCTAAGTCAGTTATAAAGGATATAGTTCACCCTAAAATGAAGATTTACCTGGATTTACTCACCTTCACTTATTTAAAACCTGTCCGAGAGTCTTTCTTCTGTTGAACACAAACGAAGATATTTTAAAGAATGTTGGATACTTATTTATTTATTTATTATTTTATTTTATGCAGGAATTTGTGGATTTTTTTATTTGCATATTTATTTATCAATTCATTCATCTTCTTGTCGGCTTAGTCCCTTCATTAATCTGGGGTGGCCACAGCAGAATGAACCTTAAACTTATCCAGCACATGTTTTACGCATCAGATGCCCTTCCAGCGGCAACCCATTTCTGGCAACATCCACACACACTCATTCACACACACACTATACGGACAATTTAGCCTACCCAGTTCACCTGTACTGCATGTCTTTGGACTTGTGGGGAACCCACGCGAATGCAGGGAGAACATGCCAACTCCACACAGAAACGCCAACTGACCCAGCCGAGGCTCGAACCAGCTACCTTCGTGCTGTGAGGCAAAAGCACTACCTACTGTGCCACCGCGTCACCTATTTATTATTTTATTTATGCAGGAATTTGTGGATTTTAAAATACATTTATTTATTTATTTGCATATTTATTTATTTATTTGCATATTTATTTATTATTTTATTTATGCAGGAATTTGTGGATTTTAAAATACATTTATTTATTTATTTGCATATTTATTTATTTATTTGCATATTTATTTATTATATTACTTATGCAGGAATTTGTGGATTTTAAAATACATTTATTTATTTGCATATTTATTTATTATATTACTCATGCAGGAATTTGTGGATTTTTTATACATTTATTTGCATATTTATTTATTATTTTATTTATGCAGTAATTTATTGTTTTTAATGTACATTCATTTATTTATTTGCATATTTATTTATTATTTTATTTATGCAGAAATTTGTGGATTTATAAATACATTTATTTATTTGCATATTAACTTGTTTATTTGCATATTTATTTATTATTTTATTTATGCAGGAATTTGTGGATTTTTAAATACATTTATTTATTTGCATATTTATTTATTATTTTATTTGCATATTTATTTATTATTTTATTTAAGCAGGAATTTGTGGATTTTTAAATACATTTATTTATTTATTTGCATATTTATTAATTTTTTTATTTGCATATTTATTTATTATTTTATTTATGCAGGAATTTGTGGATTTTTAAATACATTTATTAATTTGCATATTTATTTATTATATTACTTATGCAGGAATTTGTGGATTTTTTATACATTTATTTGCATATTTATTTATTATTTTATTTATGCAGTAATTTATTGTTTTTAATGTACATTCATTTATTTATTTGCATATTTATTTTTTATTTTATTTATGCAGAAATTTGTGGATTTATAAATACATTTATTTATTTGCATATTAACTTGTTTATTTGCATATTTATTTATTATTTTATTTATGCAGGAATTTGTGGATTTTTAAATACATTTATTTATTTGCATATTTATTTATTATTTTATTTGCATATTTATTTATTATTTTATTTAAGCAGGAATTTGTGGATTTTTAAATACATTTATTTATTTGCATATTTATTTATTATTTTATTTGCATATTTATTTATTATTTTATTTATGCAGAAATTTGTGGATTTTTAAATACATTTATTTATTTGCATATTAATTTATTTATTTGCATATTTATTTATTATTTTCTTTATGAAACATGAAATACAACTATAATGCAAAAGTGAAGAGTGATGATGTATGCTTGAGGTCAGTGAAGTTATTGACTAAAACTATTAATATTATTGTCTGTGGAATCCAACCCTTCATTATATTCTTTATTACTGTACTGATAAACCAAGATTTTGCATAAATACATGCAATAATCCTAAACAAAAACCTGATCCTGACCCTAAACCTATGTTATGAATGAATATTACTCAGTACTTTAAAGTACAATTATACTGTAACAGAAAAGTAAAGTGCAAAAAAAAAAAAAAGTTAATAGTTAATAAAACAATGCAATAAAATAAGTTTAAACTACTGAAACAAAAAATAATTACAGTTAATTATATTTATTTAAATAACACCACATAAACTAAAATAAAAATCAAAAATGTAAAATTATATTAATAATAAATAATACATGAATTAATTTTCAAAATGTAACATTGATTGTTGTATTCTAGCTAAATTATGAATACAAGCTTGCATCATGCCATGGCATCAAATCTACTCAATAAAACCCCAGTAAAATGTACAAATGAGCAAACAGACCGGATGCTGAGAATATATTTATTTATTTAATAATTCCAAAAGCAATTATTAAGCTGCTTATCATCTCGTATGACTAAACAAATCCGCATTTTCAGAATAAAGCAGTACAGAGCAACAAACATCAATAATCATGAGCTTGATTACTTCATCAGCAGTGTTATTATGTTAAGAAAATCAGCACAGAGACTATATTGTTCTTCTATATGTACACTTACATAATAATAAACATTTCTTCATACAAAATAAAGCTTTATGTTTAAGAGCATGGATTTACCCACTGGTTTCATACGTCCAATATTATAATTTAATGTTCACATTGTCTAATTTCCATGTAAAGTGCATAATCCCTGTGTTTGGCATTAACTGGTTTGCATGTGCTTTAGGGTGGAATCTGCCTGATTGGTCAACCAATTTGTTATTTATATTACCAGTTGGATTATCCGAGCATTGGAAAAATATTCTTTGGAAGTATTTAGAGTAACGTAGAATACAAAATAGCTTTTAAAGAAAGGGATAGTTCACTCGAAAATGAAAATTGACTCACTGTTTACTTTATCTCCAGTAGGTATGAGTTTCATAAAAGAAGATCAACATTCACAGCCATATCACCATGCAGCCAAAGACCGGTTACTCGCTGAAGGCTAAGCAGGGCTGAGACAGGTCAGTACCTGAATGGCAGACCACATAGGTTGCTGTTGGAAGCAGTGTTAGTGAGGCCAGCAGGGGGAGCTCAACCTGTAGCCTGTGTGAGTCCTAATGCCCCAGTATAGTGAAGGGGACACTATACTGTCAGTGAGCATCATGCAAACAGATGTCCTGACCCTCTGTGTTCAATAAAAATTCCACAGCATTTCCTCCATCATGGCCTCCCAATCATCCCCATTGATCTTTTCACACCATATGCTGCACACTGGTGGTGGGGTGAAGAGACCCCCTCTCATGATTGTGAAGCGCTTTGGGTGGATGGCCATGCATGATAAATGCGCTATATGATTACACATTACATTACATTTGAAGGAAGCTGAAAACCGGTAACCACTGACTTCCGTAGTATTTGTCTTTCCTACAGTGGAAGTCAATGGTTACAGGTTTTCATGCATGATAATTGCGCAATATAATTACACATTGCATTTCAAAGAAGCTGAAAACTGGTACCTATTGACTTCCATAGTACTTGTCAATCCTACAATGAAAGTCAATGGTTACAGGTTTTCATATAGGATCCATGCGCTATATACACATTAGATTTGAAGGAAGCTGAAAAACCGGTAACCATTGACTTCCATAGTATTTGTCTTTCTTGTAGGAAAGACAAATACTATGGAAGTTAATGGTTACAGGTTTTCATACATGATAAATGTGCTAATTAATTACACATTACATTACATTACATTACATTTGAAGGAAGCTGAAAAACCGGTAACCATTGACTTCCATAGTATTTGTCTTTCTTGTAGGAAAGAAAAATACTATGGAAGTTAATGGTTACAGGTTTTTATACATGATAAATGTGCTAATTAATTACACATTACATTACATTACATTACATTTGAAGGAAGCTGAAAACCGGTAACCATTGACTTCCATAGTGGTTGTCTTTTCTACAATGGAAGTCAATGGTTGAAGGTTTTCATACATGATTATTGCGCAATATAATTACATTTGAACGCAGCTGAAAACCGGTAACCATTGACTTCCATAGTATTTATCTTTTCTACAATGGAAGTCAATAGTTACAGGTTGTCAAATATGATATATGTGCTATATAATTAAACATTACAGTACATTTGAAGGAAACTGAAGACCGGTAACCATTGACTTCCATAGTGTTTGTCTTTCCTACAGTAGAAGTCAATGGTTACAGATTTTCACATATGATAAATGCGCTATATAATAACACATTACATTTGAAGGAAGCTGAACACTAGTAACCATTGACTTCCCTAGTATGTATCTTTTCTATAATATAAGTCAATGGTTACAGGTTTACATACATGATAAATGCGCTATATATTTACATTTGAAGGAAGCTAAAGACTGGTAACCATTGGCTTCCATAGTATTTATCTTTCCTACAATGGAAGTCAATGGTTACAGGTTTTCAACTTTCTTCAAAATACCTTCTTCTCTTGCAAAATAACTTCAACTACATTTGTAAGAGAGATTAGTGGTAACCATTGGCTTCCATAGTATTTATCTTTCCTACAATGGAAGTCAATGGTTACAGGTTTTCAACTTTCTTCAAAATATCTTCTTCTCTTGCAAAATAACTTCAACTACATTTGTAAGAGAGAAAGCAAAGCAGGTTTGAAACGAGTGGTGACAATATTTTCATTTTTAGGTGGACTATCCCTTTAAATGCTCAAAAACCAAACAAAATACATGTAAAATGAAGCTTCGCATAACTCTGTGATTGACTGTAATCGAAAATCATCCACACATGCACTCTAAGAAAGCCTGTGCAAATGTACAGCGTTAAAATGAAGCCACTTCCTGCACTTATTCTTCACATATATTTTTTGTGTTATGTGTTTGACAGTTTTGCAGTTGGGAAAAATAGAGTAACGCTACTGTCATTTCTGTCCTAGAACATTATCCATTAACAAAAAGAAAGCAAGAATTAATCAAAGATTCATCATTCAGTAGATATCTGAAGAAAGCCTCACGTTTGTTAATATATTCTGTCTAACTCTGATATCCAACATTTTCCATCTGACATACACTAACTCTCTAGGGATGCCCATAGTGAAGCTTTTATTATGTATAATTTTGGCATCTATACACATATATATACACACATACACACATTCTGCTTCTCACACAAACACCTTCATTCGCTTAAATCATGTAAAAGTGACAGTAAAAGAAGTACAAGCAGCTTTAAAACACACGCACACTCTCCTAACATGAAAACTGCTGCTTCCCTGGATTGCCTATTAAAGGGATAGTTCACCCACAAACCTTTATTTGTTTTGTTTCTGTTGAACTCAAAAGAAGATATTTTGAAGAATGTCAGAAACCGTTGACATCCATACAGCTGTACTTTAACGATATAAGCCCATGATCTATAGAAAATGGCACAGGAGCACTTAGAGCGTATCCGAATCCACTTTTGCAATTTTAAGGAGGAGGAACAATGATCAGTGCATCTGATGCATAGTCTAAAATTGTGGTCCTTAATGCCTTGATTAGTTTTGCTTGATACATGCACTGACTATCCATTATGACATTATGCAGGCATTTTTATTTACAGTAATATTCTTTAACATTTTAATCCTTGAATTTGTCATATTTTAATATGTTTGTGTGCTGCTGCGCATCCCTGTGCTTGTAATAAGCAAAGTGTATGAGTGTTGTGGAGCCGCCTATCACTAACACACTCTTTAAATAACCCACTGTTGTCACTGACTTTAGAGCAGCTTTTAGTTGACTGTCAATGGTGTGGTCTATTTCAGTTGCCTTAAAAAAGAAACTTGTCAACAATGAACCTTAACCCATGGGTGCGCAAATGTCCAAAAATACATTATTGTCTTAACTCTGTCTTTATTGCCTTAATTAGTTATGTTTGGTACATGCAATATCTATCCATTATGACATTATGTAGGCATTTTTATTGACTGTAATAATCTTTAAAAAAAAAATTTCTTGAGTTTGTCATATTTTAATATGTTTGTGTGCTGCTGCGCATCCCTGTGCTTGAAATAAGCAAAGTGTATGAGTGTTGTGGAGCCGCCTATCACTAACACACTCTTTAAGTAACAAAATAAAAACTGTGTCGTTGACTTTAGAGCAGCTTTTAGTTGACTGTCAATGGTGTGGTCTATTTCAGTTGCCTTAAAATAGCAACATGCCAACAATGAGCCTTAACCCATGAGTGCACAAATGTCCAAAAATACATTATTGTCTTAATTCTGTCTTTATTGCCTTAATTAGTTATGTCTGGTACATGCAATATCTATCCATTATGACATTATGTAGGAATTTTTATTGACTGTAATGATCTTTAGCATTTTATTTCTTGAATTTGTCATATATTAATATGTTTGTGTGCTGCTGCGCATCCCTGTGTCTGTAATAAGCAAAGTTTAGGAGTGTTGTGGCGTCGCCTATCACTAACACACTCTTTAAATAACAAAATAAAAACTGTGTGAATGACTTTAGAGCTGCTTTTAGTTGACTGTCAATGGTGTGGTCTATTTCAGTTGCCTTAAAATAGCAACATGCCAACAATGAGTGGACAAATGGCTGCAAATACATTTGCTATTTTAACAACATGACACAGAACATAAAAATGATACCTGATCCAGGCTTAAACTACCAAAAAAAAAACATTTGCTTAGTGCCTGGCTTTGCATTCTGCCCGGTGCATGATAGGGCCCAAAGTAGGACAAAAACAGAAGCTAATGGTTCCCAGTTTCCAGCATTCTTCAGAATATTATCTTTTGTGTTCAACAGAGGAAAGAAACTCCAACAAATCTGTGGCAGGAAAACTTCTAGTGAATCAATTTTTTAGCTTTTGGGTGAAGAATGCCTTTAAACGTGACTTTGTTGTACTCAAGTAAAGACTCTGACTATCCAGAGGAGCAGTATGGAGGCCACGATGAGCGCGGGAGACTGAGGACTTCTGGTGGCGGAGCTGGGCATGTTCACATCACCTGTCAGCTTCAGGCAGGTGCTGGCAGTGGCGTTACAGCACTCCAGGTAGCAGGAGCCAGTGACGGAGGTGGAGCAGGCGGTCATCTTTCTGCAATCTGTACTGCAGCCGGCCTCCCAGGCCTCGCTCGTGCCAGAGACCGTCTTCTTCAGCTGGGGAAAAAAAGAGACTTGATTTAGCCTGGCATGGGCCGCTATAAGATTCTGATGGTGTGATAATCTTGGATAAAAATGTCACGGTTTCAAGGTATCACCAAATTTTAATTACAGCTCTAAATAAGTTATTTTTTAAACATCTGGGTAAAAAACAGCCACTTTTTTCACAATGTTAAGAAACATTTATAGTATTTTGAACAATAAACATTCTTCTATTAATTCATTTTCTTGTCAGCTTAGTCCCTTTATTAATCCGGGGTCGCCACAGCGGAATGAACCGCCAACTTATCCAGCAAGTTTTTAAGCAGCTGATGCCCTTCCAGCTGCAACCCATCTCTGGGAAACATCCACACACACACACACACTCGTACACTGGACAATTTAGCCTACCCAATTCACCTGTACCGCATGTGTTTGGACTGTGGGGGAAACCGAAGCACCCTGAGGAAACCCACGCGAACGCAGGGAGAACATGCAAACTCCACACAGAAACGCCAGCTGAGCTGGGGATCGAACCAACCCAGCAACCTTCTTGCTGTGAGGCAACAGCACTACCCACTGCGCCACTGCTTCGCCCTACTGGTTTTCAACATTCTTCTAAATATCTTTATTGTTTCACATAAAAACATTTTTTTTTTTATTTGGGGTGAACTATCTATTTAAAGACATTGATCTAATAATGAACATAGAGAGTGTACCATGCAGTAATCCTGACCCACGGGACAGAAGTTTGGTGCATTCGATGCGGTTTTGTAACATGCTGCTCCATTACAGTTGATGATATTACACTTCTTGCCCTTTTGGGAGTAAAGAAATCAAAAACAAAAGTCAAAAACTGTTAGCAAATGTTTCCTTCAGTGTCAGATGGCTTTGTGTGCTCTTACATTGTTGGCTGGGGTGGTTGCAGCAGTGGACTTCGTGGTTGAAGTAGTGCTGGTGGACGTTGTTGCTGTTGATGACAGGATTGCAGTAATTAAACAGTCAATACTCAACGGTTACCATCAGTGTTGAGTGTAATACTGGGCTACAAAATAACTAGTTACTGTCATTAAAGTCTTGTTTTTTTATATAAAAATATATTTTAAAGAAGAGTTGTGTTTCATAACTAACATTTATAAACATTTATTAAGAGGATTGAACATGTTGAGTGAGAGATTAGTTCATGACAATATATAGTATTGAAGGAAGCCGAGTAATTATATACAGAGCTCAACATATACAGTCAAAATTATTAGCCTATTTATAAAATATTTCCTAAATGATGTTTAACAGAGCAAGGAAATTTTCACAGTTTGTTTGATAATATTTTTTCTTCTGAAGAAAGTCTTATTTGTTTTATTTCGGCTCGAATGAAAGCAGTTTTTAACTTTTTAAAAGCCATTTTAAGGTCAAAATTATTAGCTCCTTTAAGCAATTTTTTTTTTCTGATAGTCTACAGAACAAACCATCGTTATACACTATACATTAACTTGCCTAATTACCCTAACCTGCCTAGTTGACCTAATTTATCTAGTTAAGCCTTTAAATGTCACTTTAAGCTAAATAGAAGTGTCTTAAAAAATATCTAGTAAAATATTATTTACTCTCATCATGGCAAAGCTAAAATAAATCAGTTATTAGGAATAAGTTATTAAAACTATTATGTTTAGAAATGTGTTGAAAAAATCTGCTCTCCGTTAAACAGAAATTGGGGAAAAATAAACAGGGGGGCTCAGGGGCGCCTGCAGGATTTCATTCCAAGGTACGCACAAATCCAGCACCGCCCCGCCCCCTTCGGATGGCTGTTATTTCAGTATTCAAACATTAAATATTGAATGCATCAAGTAACATAAAAACGAATATTTTTTTTTTATAATTTAACAAAATTCTGCTCTTTTTATCTTTGCAGTTTTATAATTTTATTTTTGTTAGTTGTAATATTTTATTGTCTTCATAATTAAAGCTATAGACAAAATCCTGAATGACATTTTAGAAAATATTTTGCGTACCCAGTATATATTAAAGATCACCGAGAAAAACAAAACAAAAAACACAGAAACATGTTACATGCCACATAAATGTCCAAATTATATTTAACTGAATCATAAAAAAAATTTGTGAAAATTGCTCATCTTATTTTTATAAAACATTTTTTTTTTTTTTTAGTAAAAACTCTACCGACATTTAAGAATCCATATTTATTTTATTTATTCATTAATTTGACCTGTTTATTGGTGCATATATAGGCTATAATTTAACTCATACAACCGTACCTTGGACAGCTACAGTGCCACTTAAGCTTTCAAACACAACCCCAATAAAGTAATGAAAGATTAGACTTGCTCTGGTGACGGCCGACATCTCAACAAGCCGTAACCGTCCTTAGGGTGGTATAGCCGGCATTAAATTACAAAACAAGACGTCTGGCTTTACTCAAGTGCAACTATTTCCTCGTTGTTCAAAGAGTCTGCAAGTTCGTGTTGGATATAGTATGTAGGATTGTGAACATCAATAATGTTAAGCGTGTCTTTATTCGATGCACAGCAGAAAAAAAAGTCTTTCAGCAGTGCATGTAGCTGTTGGTTTAGTTCTCAGTGGAGAAACAACCGTAACCATACCCAAGTGTTCTCAGAACGATTTGGCACGATAGTGGAAAAGCAGGCAGCTGTAGTGTACACTGTTTAATAATTAATTTAAATTATGTCACAAATAAATAAATAAATAAAAAGCGGCTTTAATTCCCGCCCTCTCATGGTAGGTACGCACAGTACCTACAGCTGCAGGCGCCACTGGGGGTGCTGATAATTCTGTCTTCAACTGTAAATGTAGGTGTATATGAGTGTGTGTGTTTTAATTGAACCATTATTTAACCAGAAATTACTCTCTGAGATTAATAATCCCTTTCACAGGAGTGTCCTGGCAAAAATAAGCAGCAAGACCAGAGTTTACACACTTTACAGGACAAACTATACATTAAGAACACTTAAAACAATGAGGAACCACCCCTCAATTGCTGAGTGATCATCTTAAAATGATCTAAAATCTCATTTTCTTATAATTTCAGTTTAGACTAAAGAATATCCCAAGCGGAGGGAGCTGCGTAAATAAAAGCCTTCTTAACTAATTCAGCACAAACAAAATAGAGACGAGAGACTGAGTTTACCTGCAGTGCTGAATGGATTGGAGATGTTCACCATGGTGTTGTAGAGACAGTTGGTTGTGTTGCAGCAGCTCAAAGTGCAATTGCTTAGAGTCGTGTTCCCACAGGACATACCACACATGTTACTGCAGCCGACGGAGTAACTAGCGTCCGATTTGATTGTTATCTGAAGCACAGCGAAGCAGGAGGATACTCTTTAAATCTTTAGTTCACCAGTGCATGAATTGATTATCCCATCAGACTCACCTCACAGTAGTTAGAATTCAATGGGCAGGGCTTCGCTGTCGTATTGATGTACTGGTTGTAGCAATCTGAAGTGCAAACAAATGCTGGACAGGATGTCTTTGTGGACAAACAAAAAACAAAATTGCCATTGAAACATTTGAAGTTTCTGTATCCGTACATTGCTTGCAGCTCGGACACTTATTTTGGAATCTGCCGATGGCACTGGTTGATGTTTCTTTAGTGGTTTACATGAAATCATACATAACATTGTTTTGGAGATATTTAACAGTCTTAAAAAGAACCTTTTCAAGACTAAATGACAACATTTGAAAACACTCTACACACTGCTAGTGAGATATATTCATTATTATGAAGTAATATTGTTTGTGCTCACAAGGGACAATTTAATAATACATTATAGACCTTTTTCTTGGAACGCAAAATTACCCATGATGCTTTGCTTGTATGCGCAAGGAAAATGCGAAGAACTTCCGGTCGGCAGCTGATGCGTGTAAACAGTCACATTTGGACAGCTTTGAAACGGTAGTTATAATTTATTTTACCAGCTTTTATCATCTTTGAACTAATCCTGTTGTCCATCAGCACCATCTGCTGGACTGATCATTTAAAGAAATGCGATCTAATAGGATGGAAAACAGCTGCTGTGAGGCGTTTCCCCCTCGTTGTCAGACGGCATCTTCTGCAGTTTAAATGAAGCCTCGTCATCGCTAAAGTCAACATTTTCTCTTCATTTCAAATATATAACCAGCCCAAACTAATGTAGTTCAGCAAAATGTTTGACACACACACGTAGCCTGTACTGTGCCACTGATACACTGATTTAATAACTGTGACAAAGTGAAAATATAGGCTAGAGTCATTTCGAAATGACAGCTCCCTGCTAAAAAAATCCAGCTTAAACCAGCATAGGCTGGTTGGCTGGTTTTAGTTGGTTGACCAGCCTGGTTTTAGAGGGGTGTTGGCCATTTCCAGGCTGGTTTTCAGCCATTTACAGCCTGGTCTTAGCTGGTCAGGCTGAAAAATGACCAGCTTAATCCAGCTAAAACCAGCTTGACCAGCCTGGTTTAAGCTGGACATAGCTGGTTTTGGCTGGACTCTCAGCCTGGCTAGGCTGGTCAAGCTGGTTTTAGCTGGTCATCTCCCAGCCTGACCAGCTAAGAGCAGGCTGGAAATGGCTGGAAACCAGCCTGGAAGTGGCCAAAACCCCTCTAAAACCAGCCTGGTCGACCAGCTAAAACCAGCCAACCAGCCTATGCTGGTTTAAGCTGGATTTTTTAGCAGGGAGAAAAACACAAACCGTGGTGAAAACAACACACGGAATAAAACACAAACGGCTCGCGATTAGAATGAACAGCAAATCAGCCAGCAGAGGATCAATAACAGACTTTTATTGCTCATTTTTGTAAATTGCACGACTTACATAAGTTTCATGCTAATAATACGGCTTGCTCTATAATGCAGCAAAGTATTGTGTGTGTGTGTGTATTGAAGAGCCGCTGAGCTAACAACTGACAGGCGGGGAACACAAATACACACTGTATTTCTGACGGCAGACACGTGAACTAGGAGAACGTTTTTCTCGTATTTCTGACGCGCTTGAACCACATGTGACAGATTATAACGGCTTTAACAGACACATTTCTAAGTTGTGTGTCACAAAAACACTCTGCTATATATTAAAAACGTTATTAAAACCCATTTTCGGAGTGCAAATTAATAATAATAATAATAATAATTCCTTACATTTATATAGCGCTTTTCTGGACACTCAAATCGCTTTACACAATGGGGGGGGGGGAATCTCCTCATCCACCACCAGTGTGCAGCATCCACCTGGATGACGCGACGGCAGCCATTTTGCGCCAGACCGCACACCACACGCCAGCTGATTGGTGGAGAGGAGACAGTGATGCAGCCAATTGAATATGGGGATGGTTAGGAGGCCATGATGGACAAAGGCCAGTGGGCAGATTTGGCCAGGATGCCGGGGTTAAACCCCTACTCTTTTTCGAAGAACATCCTGGGATTTTTAACGACCACAGAGAGTCGGGACCTCGGTCTAAATTAACAGTTGTACACGCTGTAAACGGAAGTTTTTAGCATTCTACCGAAAGACGCTGGTCGCTATGGCGCCCTCCATGCAGCAGCCATGAAAAAGGTCTATAATAACAATATGCGGTGGACATGATAGTGCATCTTAGCCGCATGTACAATAGGATCACTAAAACTCAATTTGAAAATGTACGTAGACCTCTCTAACGTAACTTCATGTCTCCGATTTTATGATGGTTAAATTAGGCTTTATACTTTCTCACAACAGCGGCCGCTGGGAAACATTCAGAACTGTGTTGGAATTCAATTCACCTCCATTGTTAACAAATGTGTGCAAGCAGGAAGTGTGTAAAGTAAACTGATCTAGTCATGTGACGTCTGTTGCTTCATTTAAAAGGTGAGTTTCTTGCCCAAAGCCAACAAAACTTTCAGAGCTTCCCGAAAGAAGAAGAAAGACACGATCACAATGGGATTAAGTGCGTTAATAACAGGTTAAAACAGAACATGCTGTATTTTTGACCAGAACTCACCATAGAGAAATTTCCTGTTGTTGCGTTACCTGAAACAGCAGAAAAACACAGAAGCATACAAGAAAGATTATATATGTATACATATATATATACATATATATATATATATATTAGGGCTGTCAAAATTAGTGCATTAACACACGTTATTAATTTAAAATATTAAACGCGTAAAAAATTACGCAAATAACGCAGTTGCAGTTTTTTTATTTCCTGTTGTGGCGTGTGTTCAGGGACGGTGCGTGCATAGAGGCGACCTAGGCGGCCGCCTTAGGCATCAGAATAGTGAGCGAACCCCCCCCACCGGTCCTCATTTTCATCCGCTACATCCACCCCCTCCCTCACAGTCCTTACTTTCATCAGCAAACCGGTCACTTTCTTTTTCACTTTCTGGTTGAGGACGTCGTGATTGCTGTTTGCCCTAGAGCGCCAGTTCAGCTTTCTCTGGCCCTGCGTGTGTTTAACGTACAAAGATTTTTGAATAAGACCAACGACCCGCTATTCAAATATAGCCTGTGTTAGTAAATACGAGGCTATTTATGAAATCCAGGCATAACACTGTATGACAATGTTTCAGATGACTGTTCTAGAGCCTACAGCTAATCCATCTGTCAGATTCTGGAGTGCATTACAGCTCTGAAGAAAATTACAAATGATCTTAAATAAAACAAATACATGTATATATATGGTGTGTAAGTATATAACTTTACTCACCTGGGAAATGGTGGTCGAGCGAATGGTTTGTGAGCACAACTAAGTGCACACAGCATGTCATATCATCTGATAATTGTAGGAAATTATTCCCAAAAGCAACTGACCGTGCCAGCCACATAAAACAACATAAAAATACGATGTATATGCCGAGTTCAGCAGCTAATCAGCCGGAATCAGCTGAAGTGAAGTGACGGCGATTAGTGAGACCTAGCTGTCACTCAAGCGGCCACACCTTTAATTATGGAGACTTAAAATAACCTAATATAAACAAAACTGATGAGATCTAAAAAAATTCACCCCCTCAGCATTGTCATGAAGGGTAATATTAGCTATATGAACCAAAATCAAACTATAAACACCTTTTTTCTGCTGTAAAGTTGGTCATTTTAACATTAGGCTCAATAGAAGTGTGGAGCCAGGACTAGCCGAATTTTGAGTAATTGCAGTTTCAGTACATCCGTCTTGGCTTCACGAGGGAGAACAGGAGGTTGCCGCTTGGTTTGCAATGATTTTCTCTAAGTTATACAAAGTTTAACTCAACATTTTTAGTAATTCTCATTGATGTAGGTTGACATGACTGGAAAAGTTAATTCCATTTCAGGGCTCAACAATAAGGACTGCCCGGTGGCCCGGGATCAGCGTGAAAGACACTCGGGACAGTAGACAGGATTGCTACTGGCCCCTAACGGCCAGTAACAATGAGCATGTTTTTTTTTTGTAACCTGGTTACAACCAGTACAGCGAAAAGATGGCAACATGGCGGCAAAATTAAACAATGAGGCTAAAAGAAAAGGTCTGTTTCTGAAGTCTTAGAAGCAGACAATTACATGGGTACAAAATTAAGAGACTGAAATAAATAAATAAATAAATAAATAAATAAATAAAACAATTGTCAGTTTGGCAAGCCATTTTTAAAAATATTTTTAAAATTGCATTAAAATACCAGCACATTTTTCATACTGCTCTTTCATTTGCATAAAATCTTGAATTTTGCTCATTATACACTTATTAACATACTTAAAATGTTTAAATTCTAGATTCACAGGCATATTTTTGCCACTATTTAAAATATGTGGCGAAGGAATAGCTATTAACTTTTTAGTTTTTTTGGTGGGGCCAGTGAAAATTTTGGCAGGGCAAGTAAAAATCTCAACCAATGGCCCGATCGGACCCGTATAAAAAATCCTTAGCGCTGAACCCTGCATTTAACTAAAGAATTTAAGGCAGCAAGTTTGTTGTACAGAAAACTGTAATTTACAACACAAACCCAGACATTACTATCAAAAATGTCAACAAAAGTTGCTTTTCCAACTTTTAAAAGTTGTTGAAAAGACAGATCAAAGTCCTATTATGCAATCCATAAGCAAAATACACGAAAAAACAATAATAGATATATGACAAAACAAGGAGAACTTGTTTTACAATGCACGGATGTTGGAGATATTCATGCAGATATTCATCAGTACTTGCTGCAGTAACAATACAAATCCTGTACAGTAAAGTTTTACAGTACAACTAAATCATTCATAAACAATGTTTATTTCATTTCTTATATGGTATGTGGGTTACCATGATGGTGTTTTGTAGTTGATTTATATTCAATCATTCACTCGGCTTTTATCCATCATTGGTTGCCACAGCAGAATGTACCACCATCTATTCCGGCATATGTTTAACGCAGTGAATGCCCTTCTAGCTGCAACCCAGTTCTGGGAAACACCCATACACACTCATTCACACACACAAACTACGGCCAATTTAGTTTATTCAATTCACCATTGCGCATGTACTTAGACTGTGCGGGAAACCGGAAAACCTGGAGGAAACCCATGTGAACATGAGGAGAACATGCAAACTCCATACAGAAATGCCAACTGGATCAGCCGGGACTCGAACCAGTGACCTTCTTGCTGTGAGGCGACAGTGCTAACTACTAAGCCACCATGTGTAGTATGATTCTCTGTTAGTTCACTATATGATTTAATTTGATTGATACTGTGTAACAATATATATGATTTGTAGACAGGGGCGCCGCTAGGGGGGGGTCCATACGATTCTGAGGGCCCATACGTTTAGGGGGCCTCCAGAGACATAATAAAGTGCCCGCGATACCCCCCCAAACCCCCCCCCCCCCCGGGTCTTCACTTTCATCCGCGATCCATTCCCCCCACCTATAACTTACATCTGTGACACCCCCAACCTCCCCAAAATACAACAATACAATAGTCAGAGGGCCAGTGGCGACCAGCGGGGCCCCTGTGTGCAGATGTTACTCCTTTAAAACAGCTGTGTGTTATTACTACATGCTAATGAAGTCCAGTAATTTACAGTGAAATTCTCAATATATTTAACATTTTTTTACTCTATTTTTTTAAAATACATTTTTAATGATTTTTAATTTTTTTTACAGCAAACAAAGAAAATATACCTGTACTGTTGCCAGATAACATCGTAGAGTTAGAGGAAGTGTATGTGCTGAATGAAGTCACTGAAGAGATGGACGAGGCCATAGATGTGGTCTGTCCAGTAGAGGAGCTCAGACCTGTACTGGCAGACTGAGATGATGATGATGATGATGATGATGATGATGATGAGGAAGATGAAGATGTTGGAGAAGTGGATGATGATGATGATGATGACGTTGTAGATGCTGTTGTGATGGGATCCTGAGGCCTCACTACACACAGCAGACTCATTTGCATTAGTAGAAAAAACAGGAAGCCTGTTGGACAAACAGATCGACAGCAAAAGTCTGTGACGGACACTTAGCTACTGTATTTGCATGTGGTGAAATGTAACTCGTCCAGCTGAGAAATACATGGAAAAACATGTACGCTAGGAACACAAGCAGAACGAGTCAACATGTAAAGCAGTAGAAGCTTCCAATAAAATTGTTCACACAGTTGAAGTCAGATTTATTAGTCCCCCTTTGATTTTTTTCGTCCATTTTTTTAATATTTCCTAAATTATGTTTAACAGAGCAGGGAAATTTTCACAGCATGTCTGATAATATTTTGTCTTCTGGAGAAAGTCTTATTTGTTTTATTTCGGCTAGAATAAAAGCAGTTCTTAATTTTTTAAAAGCCATTTTAGGCTCAAAATTATGAGCCCCTTTAAGCTATTTTTTCCCGACTGTCTACGGAGCAAACCATCATTATACAATAACTTGCCTAATTACTCTATCCTGCCTAGTTAACCTAATTAACCTAGTTAAGCCTTTAAATTTCACTTTAATATTATGTTTAGAAATGTGCTGAAGAAATCTCTCAGTTAAACAGAAATTGGGGGAAAAACAAACAAGGGGGCTAATAATTCTGACTTCAACTGTATATACACTGTAAAAAATATGTTAATTAACTGGTATGTTGTGATTCACGAGTGTTTTCTGTTTATTTACGGTTGTGAATTGCTTTATGGGATGTAGGTCGTCGACTTTTGATGTTGAAAATTCAACTCTACAGTTTAACAAAGTGACTTTACTAACATTTTAGTAGTTTTAAATAATAAAACGATAAGAAATAGGTCTAATTTAAGTCTGTAAATTTGTAGAAAATGTGCTGCAGGCTATTTTTATCAGAAGGTTTTTGTAGAGTAATATAAAACTGAAGAGTTTAGAGGCAAAAACCTCTAAATGCCGTCTGAAATTTCCATCGAAAATGAACATTTTCTTCAACCTCCTTTGTTTATGTTGATATATTTTACTTTATAGACCAAAAGAAGGACTTTTTCTTTGCCATATTGTAGTGATATTACTGAACATACACACAGGAGCCTGATAAAAATATTTCTTTTAGAGGAAAATTTCAGACGCCATTTAGAGGACTTTGCATCTAAACTCTTCAACTGTAAAAAAATCCTGCTCTGTAGAAAATTATATGATCCATTAGTCCTGACAGCATATGTTTTCAGTTCATTCTAACTTATTCAACAAAGTTAACCATGTTGTAACTTCATTTTATAAGATAAGCAAGCTGTTTTAACATAATGTTAGTTCAATGGACGCATAAGATTAACTTGATTCAACTTAAAATTTTAAGGCAACCAGGATTTTTTTACAGTGTGGTTGCCTTCAATCTTTAAGTTGAATCAAATTAACCTTATGAGTCCATTAAACTTACATTGTCAAACTGAATTAAAAAGTTTGTGTTATGATTGATTTAGTTTAATAAGTTACAATGACCTAAAACATATGCTGTCAGGACAATTTTTTTTTTACAGAGCACCAACCCAGACAATATACAACACAATCTCACGGCAATTCGTAACTTTTTGATTTAGTGGCTAATTCGTATGAATTCGGACGATCTAATTCGTACAATTTAGTACGATTTGCTCATCTCCCAATGACAGTTGGGTTTAGGGGTGGGGTTAGGTGCCACGCCTCCTTTTAAAATCATACAATTTTTACGACTGAACTCTGAACTGAATTAGCCACCTAACTGGCAAAACGTAAAATACTTACGCTTTCTCGTGAGATCAGGCTGCAGTATATCAGTTTAAACTATTATAAATGTGAATAAAAGTCATGTTTTCAAACTTTTCAAGGTTAAAAGTTGTTGGAATAAAGAACAACATCTCATAGTGCAATTCAAAAGCATAAACAGAGAAAAATAAAAACATGAATCACAAAATACGGAAAACTAATTCACGGATATTTTTACACACAAGCAGAATGAGTGAGATTGTAAATATATAAGCCCTGTATGTATATACAATGCGTTTATAACAATTCAAATCAAGCATAACATTTCATTTAAAATGAAAAATATAAATCTGAACACAGAAACCATGAGACGGTATAATAACAAACCTGTTTTGGAAGACCTCGGTGTCTTGCTAGTAGCCATTCCACTTATTCCTCCCAGCATCATCTGAAGGCATACACGATTTGGCAAAACGTTACAATAAGGCTTTATTAGTTAATGTTAGTTAATACATTAATTACAACATTCTTTGCTAATATTAGCTAATGAAAATAAAGTTGTCCCTTGTTAGTTCTCGCTAACTCACAGTGCTTTAATTCAGGGATTCTCAATTAGTGGGCCTCAGCGATCCTGCAGGTAGGCTGCGAGAATATTAGTAAATGTTAAATTATGATTAATAAATGCTAGTTTTTGTTCATTATAAGATAATGTTGGACATTAATGACATTGATGAGGTCAATTTTCCTAAACATGCAAGAGATCGATTTTTCTTTTTTTCTGGAGTGTTTCACAATCTGAAACATTGTCATGACTTTTTAATATTTTTTTTTTCATCTACGTTAAAGTTAATTACCCACAATCTGCATTATAAATCAGAAATAAAGACGAATTTAATGAAAGTGTTCATCAAACAGCCAGTGTGTCGCTATCAGAATATTAATATAATAAAAGGCGTAAGCTCTGTGATTGGTCGGCTTGGTAGCGATGACGAGTCTGGGCGTGACCGAGAGCTTCGCGAATGGCACGAGCGATTGTTTACAAGTGTGGAGTCCCATGAAACTATTAGACTGTTGTTGGAGACCCTAACAACCAAATATGACCCTATTTCATGTATAATATGGGCTCTTTAAATAACCGTAACAGTTATCAAATAAGCTTCTCCTGCTCACCAAGGCTGCATTCATTTGAGCAAAAATACAGCACACATTGTAAAATTGTGAAACGTTATTGAACTATAAAATAATAGTTAGTTTAAACAAAGTTTATTATTTAATTTAATAAATTATTCCAGTGATTAACTGATGAATTTTCAGCTTCATTACTCCAGTCTTCAGAGTCACATGATCATCTGAAATCCCTCTAATCTTATTTACTACTATTATTATTAATGGTGATAGTAATAAAAGCAATAATGACTGATTTCATTTGAAACTACATACAATAAGAAAGCAGTTATTTACAATTTTAATGAATCTTTAATTTATTAACATTTAATAAATGCTACCTTGGAAAAAAAAATAAAACATGAAAAATAAAACTGACCCCAAACTTTTGACCGGTAGTGTGTGCTTCAATACTACAGAGAAAGAATAAAAAACCTTCAGTATTTTACATGACTATACATCATAACATGTCCAACTTTGCCTGCACATTAATCACTAAAGGTGGTTTGCATGCATGATGCTGGAGACAAATTTTCATGCAAACTTGGCTTGTTATAATAGCCATTGCGGAGCGTATCTAACCTCCCATGACCTTCGAGCATGATCTTCTGCTTTGATGGTGTCAATTCCTCCTAATAGATGTCAATTGTTCAGCCGAAACAGAGCCACATTGATTGGCTTTCCGCGGCTGCATGCATTTGAATGTGAACTAAGCATCTCGGTGTGTTACATCAATGCTGAAAAATGACAGAAGTGGCAATCCTTGCTTTAGTCTCTGTGGCCATAACACCGGTTGATCGCTACAAACGTCCCCTTGCAACGAGCCCGGCACACAATTAACAACTTGTTTGTTCGGTGCGAGTCCCTCGGGCGTAAGTGCAAAGCACGGCTTGTTACCCGTTTCCCCGTGAGGGGGTGAACAAACCCTTCAGGAAACTACCCTGGAAACAAACCGCGACTTGCATGAAAACATGCGATGCAGGCTTCACACCCAAGTGATCAGCCTCTTTCTCAATCCTCACTGTAGCATTGAGCATCTGCGTCATGCATCTTGCTTTCTAAACTTGTTGTCTAATCCTGCTAGCATGGCGTACTGAAAATATCGCTGGCTTTTTGACAACATGTGTTTCTCAAAAAAAATGCCTGGGCACATTGCTTTTGTTCCTCTTTTGTAAGTGGCTTTGCATAAAGGCGTTTTCCTAATTGCATAAATGAAAACAGCCAAACAAACAAAACAAAAGTAAAGAAAAGAAAAGAAAGAAAAGATGCATGTATGCAGGATTTACCTAATTCTACATAAATCTCATTAATATGACAAACAAAAATGAATGTGTCATTCATTAAAACAACACAATAACAGTATTTTACTGAATAACTGATTTATTTTATCTTTGTCATGATGACAGTAAATAATATTTGACTAGATATTTTTCTACACACTTCTATACAGCTTAAAGTGACATTAAAAAGCTTAACTAGGTTAATTAGGTTAGCTAGGCAGGTTAGGGTAATTAGGCAAGTTTATTGTATAACAATGTTTTGTTCTGTAGACTAATGAAAAAAAGCTTAAAGGGGGTAATAATTTTGTCAATAATTTTTTTCTTTTTTTAAAACTGCTTTTATTCTAGCCGAAATAAAAAAATAGGACTTTCTTCAGAAGAAACTTTCAGACATATTGTAAAAATTACGTTATTTTAGGGTTATGTTGTAGGTTCCACATAACAATTCCTTCATGTTGCCCCAACACAAGTCGATGAATTTAATATTTTTTTACACATTTTAGTGGACATAAAACAATGAAGTTGTCTACAAAAAGATCAAAAATTGTGTTGATTCAGCTCATTGTAAATAAATGAATAGGTATGAATAGGTATATATATATATATGTGTGTGTGTGTGTGTGTGTGTGTGTGTGTGTGTGTGTGTGTGTGTGTGTGTGTGTGTGTGTGTAAAAACTGTAAAAAGTCTGTTATTTTACATTTGTTTTTTGTTATTTTACGAAAAACTTGTAAAATAACGGCTGTTAAATTACAGACATTTACCGTAAAATAACAGACAGTAAATCACATAAATTTATCGGAAATTTAGGTCAATTTCTGTAATTTACTGTCTTTTATTTTTTGGTAAATGTCTGTAATTTAATGGTTGTTCTTTATCTTATTTTCCGGCACCCCAGCTGCAGAAAAAAAGTAAAATAACGGATTTATTTTACAGCGTATTTATACATTTATATATATATATATATATATATATATATATATATATCTCGTCACCTTAGAATTGTAAGGTTCTATCTGCATTCTAAATGATTTTGAGATATCGAGCTTCAAAGTTTTTGCATTCCATAGCAAACAGTATGTGTGTAACATTTGTTTTTTAAATAAAAAGTCTTAAAATGTAAACAACCTATAAAATAACGTCCCATAACGTAAATAAGTTGTCATTTAATAAGAATATGTCAGTAACTCAATTTTGAAAAAATTGTCAGATAGAACCTTATACACTTTGAAGTGATTAATTGACTTTTACTTAGTAGAGTTAAAATTATTAAGATGTTCTATCATGTGCATTATTTACAACATTTATTTAATCACTCATTTTTTTAAGTAGTCAACTTCTTACTTTCAATGGGTTTCCTTCCGAGTAAAATAACTAATCTTACAGCAAGCTTTATATATATAGCATTTCACTAACGTTTATTTGTTTCATCATGTAATAACCTAAGATGGGACTAAAATGTAATTTTTGAAGTAAAACAATTCAATATGTGTCATTTTTCATTAGATTTATTTTTTACAAAATATTGAAAAATTAAACCTATCAACACAGCTGTCTAAGTCGAAGTTAATTAGTCACATAATTAAATTCTCACATTCAGAAAGAATCTAATGAGAATTTCACCAACCTTTTTATCTAATCAGTAATATAATTTGTGTGATAATCTCTCAAGACAGATAAACAAGTCTCTATTGCATTGAGCAAAACAGATAAAAACAAAACGCAAAATCAAGAAATCTCAACAGACACAGCAATATTTTCCAAATAACCACATCACTTTTTCCACCTGCCATATGCAGGATTTAGCCTCATCTTATCACCTGTTACTACGCAACAAAAAGCATCTCCTGCCAAAATACACCTAGACCCCACATATGGATCCAAAAATGCAATTCTACATCAAACGGCACAATTAAAACGGTATACTGGGAGATGTGGCTTACCTTGTCTGTACAGTTGGAAAGCAGGGATTAGACTGGAGTTGCAGCAGCTGTGGGTGAAGTTAAGAGTGCCAGTCTGACCCTCTACCCTTCCCTCTTTCTCTCTCTCTCTCTCTCTCTTTCTCTCTCTCTCTGCTGCTATTTGTTTCTCTAGAATAGTGACATCAGAGGGAAGCTTTACTAATAAGTGGAAACTCTGGTGGGACTGGTCTGCTGATTGTGTGCCTAAACTTGGATCAAGAGCCATGTATTTATCAAAATGATGCTTTCAGTTCTCAATCTCTGTTGATAGAGCTAAGCTGAGAGTCAAGATGTTGAAATCCCAAAGAGAAAATGGGCTTCACAATGGTCACAATGGCTCAGACCCATTTAATACTACTACTACTACTACTACTAATACTACTACTACTACTACTAATAATAATAATAACAATAATAATAACAACAACGAAACTAATATATATTATATAATCATTTTGAACTAAACCCAAATAAAGCAATAGAAAACACAGTGAGTGGGGGTGGCACTGGAGGTGAGGTTTCATGTGCAGCTTTATTGTAATCCGGATAGTCAAGCAGGCAGAGGTCAAGACAGGAGTTAAAAGAAGCATAAGAAGATAGAGTAATCTGGTAGAGTAATCCGATAAATAGACAAAGGGTCGGGCCAGTCAGCAAACAATCATAAAAATACCAAACAGTCCAGGAGTTGACAAAAAGACAAGCCAAGGTGGTGTGCAGAACAGGGAAAATAAGACTGAGGGTGAGTGCTGCTTATTTGTGCAGGTGTCAGTATAATCAAAGTACCGATCAAGAGTTTCAGATTCATAGACCCCCTCAAGACAGTCCAGGAGGCAGGTGGAGCTGAGACCTGACCTGGAGCATGGAGCTGAGGCAGGTCTGGTTCAGGAGGCTTTGTCGGACCTGAAGGCTCTTGGTCAGGAGGTTTGCTGTCAGGTCAGACAGCTCTGGTGGATCAGGAGGGTCTGAGTCAGGAGGCACTGGTGGGTCAGATGGACCAGGAGGCTCTGGGTCGGAAGGCACTGGTAAGGTCAAATGGCTCTGGTGGATAAGGCAGCTCTTGTGGGTCAGAAGACTCAGAAGGCTCAGAAGGTCAGATGACTCTGGTGGATAAGTCAGCTCTTGTGGGTCAGAAGACTTAGAAGGCTCAGTAGGTCAGATGACTCTGGTGGACAAGTCAGCTCTTGTGAGTCAGAAGACTCAGAAGGCTCAAGGTCAGATGACTCTGGTGGATAAGTCAGCTCTTGTGAGTCAGAAGACTCAGAAGGCTCAAGGTCAGATAGCTCTGGTGGGTAAAACAGCTCTTGTGGGTCAGAAGACTCAGAAGGCTTAGATGGTTAGATGGCTCTGGTGGATAAGACAGTTCTTGTGGGTCAGAAGACGCAGAAGGTTCAGAAGGTCAGATGGCTCTGGTGGGTAAAACAGCTCTTGTGTATCAGAAGACTCAGAAGGCTTAGATGGTTAGATGGCTCTGGTGGATAAGACAGCTCTTGTGGGTCAGAAGACGCAGAAGGTTCAGAAGGTCAGATGGCTCTGGTGGGTAAAACAGCTCTTGTGTATCAGAAGACTCAGAAGGCTTAGATGGTTAGATGGCTCTGGTGGATAAGACAGCTCTTGTGGGTCAGAAGACGCAGAAGGTTCAGAAGGTCAGATGGCTCTGGTGGGTAAAACAGCTCTTGTGTATCAGAAGACTCAGAAGGATCAAAAGGCTTTGGGTCAGTAGACACAGGTGGGTCAGACAGCTCTGGTGGATCAGGAGGCTCTGGGTCAGAAGGCACTGGTGGATTAGATGGCTCTAGGTCTGAAGGCACTGGCCGGTCAGACAGCTCTGTGGGTCAGTCGGTCGTTGTAGATCAGGAGACTCTGGATCAGGAAGCACTGGCAGGTCAAACAGCTCTGGTAGATCAGGAAGCTCTGGATGAGGAGGCACTGGTGGGTCAGACTGCTCTGGTGGATAAAGAGGCCCTGGGTCAGGAGGCATTGGTGGTTCAGACAGCTCTGGTGGATCAGGAGGCCCTGGGTCAGGAGGAGCTGGCAGATCAGACAGCTCTGGTGGATAAGGAGGTTCTGGGTCAGGAGGTGTTGGTCGGTCAGATGGCTCTTGTGGGTAAAACAGCTCTGGTGGGTAAGAGGGCTTTCGTGGATGAGAAGGCTCTGGGTCAGGACGCACTGGCAGGTCAGACAGCTTTGTCTGGTCAGACAGCTTTGGGGGGTGAGAAGACTCTGGTGGGGCAGGAGGCTTTGGCGGTTCAAACGGCTCTGTCTGGCCAGGTGGGAGGTCAGATGGCTCTGCCTGGTCAGACGGCCATAGGCAGCCATACAACTCTGGGGGGTCAGATGGCTCTGCCTTTGGCAGTAGTTGCTATGGAAGCTCTGGCAGCTCAGATGATGGTGGCCATTCTTGTTACTCAGACTCTTGCAATTTTTGATACTCAGGAACAGAAACTATGATAGGAAGAGACTCAAATCAAATAGCCATCTTGTGAACTGACTGCGGACTGGTAGCAGGTCATCTTTGAAATAGGCAGACTGGGGGCTCACAATGACACTGGTCATTCTGCCAGCTCAGCCATGTAGCAAGGAAGTAAGTTTGGGAAATCTTGGAGCAGAACAAAAGTGAGAACAGTGTTAGGGTGGTGTCTTTTTTAAAACCCATTTCTAGCCGATCTTGCAGTTTACTAGTACCATCCTAGAAATATTAAGGGGTGTCCTTCTCCACCTTGGACTCGGTCCCCCAACGACATCATCGTTTGTTTTTAATGGTCTGTTTAGACCTTAAAAGAAAAAGTCAGTGAGTGCACAGTTCAGTAAATTATAGTTGTTAGTAATGTCCACAAGATAGTTGGCCTCAAGGGGGTGCTTACCATGACGGAGGCAGAAGATGTGCACTACTGGATCCATATGGTGCTGGTGGAACGTGGATCGGTAAGTCTTCTGTTATGGATAGGGGTGACACCCGAGGTGAGGTTTCATGTGCAGCTTTATTATAATCCGGATGGTCAAGCAGGCAGAGGTCAAAACCATTAAAAGAAGCATAAGGAGATAGAGTAATCCAATAGAGTAATCCACTAAACAGACAAAGGGTCGGGCCAGACAGCCAACTATCATAAAAATACCAATCAGCTCAGAGATCAACACACAGACAAGAAAAGGCAAAACAAAGCATCTCAATCAGCTCCCTATCTCCCGAGGTCATGTATCAGATTATGTACACTAGAATGAGCACAGGAAAGAACAGTGATGAACTCAGTTCACTACACATTGGGACAATCACTGTGACATAAAAACGTCTTTGTAGTACAACATCAAAACACAAGTTTATGACCGACGGCTGAATATTTTGATTGAATAATTTGATTGTATTATATACAAGCAACATTTCAACCAATTAACATTTATAACCTTTTGCTAGATTGCTCTTGACCTGTCTTGCTATGTTTGTTGATTTACACTGTGCATTGTGAGACTTTTTAGGAAGCAAAAGAGTTTCAGTACTCTGGAAGAATTCTGCAATTGAGACAGCGCTCAAAATGGCTGACTCCCTAAACAGTGGCCTGACTACTGAACAAGTGCGTCAATGAGTTGAGACGCACCCTGAGTGAGAGGAAGTGGTGGAAAGTCAAAAGACCAGAAAGTCATCTTCAAGTAAAAGTAGCTTTACTTGCCAAAAATGTAGTGCAAGTAGGTAAAAGGTATCTATTGTAAGTACTGCTTAAAGTATGTGTAAAAAGTAGAAAGTAGTGAGTATTACACTTAAGGAAACAACTATTTATCATTTTGCCAGTTTAATAGCTAACTCGTATGAATTTTTATGAGTTAAGTCATACGAAAATATACAAGATGTGGCATTCAACCCCACCCCTTAACCTGAAAAAAAAAATTCATACGAATTAGACACTACAATAAAAAGTTTCGAATTGCTGTGAGATAGTGATGACCTATCAGGCACAAATTTAGCTCTGATAATATGTTAATGCTTTGCTTGACTAACATGCTATGAGTGTCCAGCATTTGGTGGCACAAACCAAGCTTGTACACCATTACTAGAAAACATGCAATTTCTGCATGTATTCGAAAACGTTCACACCAGATGCGGATGAAGTGTCAAGCGAGTGATTTACATGTTAAATCAATGCAAAAACGTGAAGAGACATCCGGCGGCGTGAATGATGCGGTTTGCGTGAATGAAGCGGCACGAGTTAAGTGTTTTGCTCAAATCACTTGAGTTGGAAAATCTGAACTTTAGAGGACATTCGCGCCACACTAACCAACCAGGAGCTTGCTCTTGTAGAGATTATGACGTAGTGCCTGTTGTTGGTGTCACGGGGAAAAGTCCTTCTGCTGACATTGGACATCAAACTGGGCTCGGCTCAGTCGGAAGCACCGCTGAAAGCCTCCATCATCCAGGTATAGTTTCTGGAGGAGTTAATGAACTCACAGAAATGAGTGCACCTAGTGGACTCAGACATGGCGCCGAACAAATTGACACTGTTTTTCAGCCTTCGTAAAGCACAGCTATTCTCTCAAAAAAATCCATGTTAGCCATTTAGCAACAAAGCTAGAGTCACCGGGCAGACAGAAGCCCTGCCCATGATGCGAAACCACGCTTATTGTAAAGCGGATTTGATGTGCGAATGAAGTGAGTAAATTCAAAATGTTCACACGTCTATTTACACGTGAATATCACACACCACTGCTTTTCACTTCGTGGGCACCCCCGGATAAAATCTCCCGGATTTTATGATCCGAATGTTGGCAGGTATGTTAGGCAGGGGTGTCCAAACTCTGTCCTGGAGGACCAGTGTCCTGGAGTAGCTCCAACCCTAATCAAACACCAGAACCAGCTAATTAAGCTCTTGCTAGATATACTAGATGAACTAGAAAATTCCTGGCAGGTGAGTCGAAGCAAGTTGGAGCTAAAGTTTGGATACCCCTGCTGTAAGGCATAGGGTTATTAGCAGTTAGGTCTACGCAATTAAAACCGCATCTCATGCAGTCTCAGCCTGCATGTGCACCTGATTCTGCTGTTTTTTATAAAGTGTCCATGTCTTGAGGTTAATTTGCCTGATGGGATATTTCTCTGTGATTTGTCTAT